TAGTCCTAGCGTGATGCTACGTAAGTCACATGAAATTACGGTTATTGTATAGTGAGAAATTTCCAGATGGCAAAAAGTCAATTATGACAGACAGGATATGGCAACGGGAACTTGATTCACTCTCCGGAGACGCGGTAGCAAACCGCTCCTGTCTAGTTCATATTAATGATGTGCAGTATTCGTATTAATAAAAAGATACATCTCGAGTATAGGTTAGCTTCGTCCGGAATGACAAACAGGAGTTTACCATAATGGGACGATTTGTTTCCATAAGAGCTACCGTGGCACGGGCTGTAGAAATGTTTAGAGCTTGGGAGAGCGGCGGACTTTATGAGCTACTTTGTGAACTGCTTGCAAAAATCGTCGCATCAGAAGCGAATGCAATCAGTCACCAGCCAGGTACCGGTTGCAGCACTTCTATAAATTGGCCCAGTAAGAGTGTTCAAAAGAGCAGGTGTTTCAAAACTGCTAGAAATAAGGTATACATTCAATGTAAACACATTAAAAGACTTTACGTGTATAAAAAAGAAACAGAAATTTTGCTCTGTCTTCATTGTTTGTTGTACAAAATGTTTAGTACAATCACCCTCAAATTACTCTCTTTTACTGGTAGCATACCTTGCTCAACGGTGCTTGGACTTTTGGAAAGTCACCTGAAGCGTACTTTCTGCGTGGCGTGTAGGCCTGTTATCCCATTGTACTGAGTCCTCACTATGGTCTGGAAACGACGTCATTTCAATGTTATTTTTAGTTTTGGAAACAGGATAAGTTCTCTTTGGACTAGGTTCAGAGAATACGGTAAATGATACACAACGGAAGTTTGAGATTATGCTGTAGTGCTACGGACAAGAGCCGATGTGTGACCCAGCGCATTACCATGATGCAACTTCCAAGTCTGATTTTCCCACCGTTCACTCCTCTTCCTATGCACTGTATCCATTAACCGTTCTAGAATTTCTTGGTAGACATTTTGTTTGCTAGCTGGCCATGTAGTCTTGATGGACAATATTTTGCTGTTAAAAACACCACCAACAGCACGTTGATCTTCGACCCACTTATGCGTGCTTTCCTGGACGCGGAAACCAGTCTTCCATCCAATACGAGGACCATGAACTCAAGTCTCATTCTTGTCCTGATGTTCTTACGGACGTTTACATTGTCATTGTCAGGGATAAGTTCTTGGCTGACTTTAACATGACTCCGTTTATGATCATCAGCCACGAATGTTGTCCTACAACGATGCGTCTCAATTTTGTCATCTAAATTTTATGGCATTATTCTACGTTGATGCGTACTTCATCAGTAACGACTCGAACAGTTGAGAGATGGTCTACACAGATCATAGCTATCACAGCATGTTTGTCATCTGTTGATGTGGAGGCTCGTTCATGCTTGTGAATGTTCTAGATCTAACTTTTACCCTGTTCAAAACGCTTATACCACTGAAAACACTGTGTGTGAATCAGGCAATCATGCAAGTGTCTTTGGAAACATTTTCCCAAGTTAGTAGCAGGATTTCGCACACATGTCGTCCTTCATACACTTTGGTTGTCAATTTGGAGCGAATCCGAAGAGTAGTCTGTGCAAAGACAACTCACCAAATAACGGTCAGAGAAAAACGCGGTAAATGGCAGTTTATTATTTAAACAAGCCTCTATGTGCGTTCCCTTTGCCAGTTGGCAACCTATTACAAAAAGTCGGTTTCTTCTTGTATACGGTAGTAATCTCATGTCTAAATCAGCAGCGCAAAGTGATTTTGTACACAAGTACCTAATTTCCTTATTTGATGTTGCTTAGCAATGTTACCTTTGTTATCATAAGTTTACATGAGAATTCTACGACATCCCGGGATATCATGAATATAATCACACTGTATTTAATATGGCTGCAGAGCAGACCAAATGGTTTAACGAGCCTCACAGGTTTGAAAACCAAGATTTATGGACACGACGTCTTATGGACCATTTGCCGCGCTGCCAAATATAGTTCTGTTTTATGCGAAGCTTCAATTTGCTTATTATCCAACACAAATAATTGTAGCAACATGGGTTGGTCACACGGCAAACAGCGACGCTAACTTGCCTAGGCACTTTTGTTACTGTCTGTGACAGATGCGACAAAGTAGATTTCAGCTTACTTGGCACAAATGTAATTATGTAAGGTGGATAGCATGAGGTTCCACTAACTATCCACATGGAGCTAGTGTTATCGTTTTATTGCTATGGTATTGACGCATGCAAATAAATTTCAGACAGCTTTTCAACACGTCTTTATGGGTAGTCGGATATGATTTTGACTTTGAAATGTAGCCTGCATACTCCGAAAGAACACAGCGGTGAGGCAGTAAGTCTATATCTGAAAACAGCGGAGTTCAAATGTGTGTCACGGTTATCCGGACCCCTAATTCTTGAGGGACTATGGTATTGGCGTCCATCTTGATGGAGAGAAAACAGCCGTGTTTTATGTGTTACTCATACTAAATATACGGTCGGCAAAGTAAACTAAGAAATATCTACGTATTTTAAGCCTAGTGATAATTGTTCTGTGTTTGGCAGAACGAGTCTAGTCGGCTAAAAAAGTAACACAAATCTCTGAAAGTTACTATAGCCATTAAAGCATTATGACAGAAAGCTAAACATGCCTTGTGAAGTGTCTGACTCTATTAAGTAAATTTTGCACCAGTCGAATGTCTTGTCAATTCAGCTGACCATCTTACATAACGTAAACTACATCATTTGGGCCCAGTGGAATCATAGTTAAAGCTGAAAAATTGTGCGACCGTGTCAACATAACCTTTCCTTTACAATGTGTTGACACCCGGCATGATTGAATATGAGGACAATATATTCACAAATATTTCCTATCTATGGATCCAGAGATAACCAGTGTTTTCGCCAATAGATCCTAGTCGATATCAATTACTTTCGAAGAGATGGAGGTTCGACCGACTGGAACTTTGAATTTGTACTAGTATATGTCAACGAGATGGAATAAACTGGAAGTTCGACTACTTCTTTCTCTGTGTTTAACTACATTTCGGACTTTCATCCTTTGTTATCCGAGGACGATGTTGGAGTCCTTGTTACCGATGTTAACTCTAGCTCATGCTCGTGAATGTCGGTGAATTGTGTTTGGAGCAAACATCTTTCGACACAGTAGTTTGTCCAAACTAGCAGCGCACCGATTACTCAGCTAACTACATTTGAACGGGTAAAACCCAGTGCATAAAATGTTTGCGCTTTGATTTGTGGGTACTAGCTGTGAGTTTAGATAGCGACTTGGTTGCGTAGTAATGATGCTGTCCTCTGTCACAGTGTTTTACGTCTTCCTCTTTACCTAGCACGTTTTTACCCAAAATGAATCATTGTTCATTGTACATCTGTAACTTGCAGCGATTAATGAGTTGATGGAACTGAGAATAGGAAGGTTTTTATTTGAATACTTCTCATATTAGGTGGAGTGTTATCGTGTTAGGTTTATTCTCCGATTCTAACGCAACATCAGATTACGTAACTAATGGCTGGTACGAGTTTCAAGAGCGTAAAACAATGGTTACTTGAACTTTTTTAGAATAGTGGATATGTGCGGCGATAATGGAACCTAAAGAATAGAAGAAGCTCTGTGGATACATTCACGGTGATAAAAATGCTAAAGAAAGTAGAAGTACAGTGCGTCTAGAAGCGGAAAAGGCCAACCTTACTTCAACAACAAATGATAGGTTCAACTTGGCCCCATCTTGTACAATGTTAACAGTCAAACGGAAGGCCAAGTTCGCCTAGCAACGGACACGTACTGCATAAGGGCACATTGAATGCAATGAGTGAAATTGAGGCGACTGTTGACTTAAACATAAATCTCCTCAATTCAGTTGATTCGACGTGCAAGGAAGAACACATTATTCCTCTACGGTCAATCTCGCTACATTCTCGTGAGCTAGATACTGAGAGACTTTTTGAGATTGGTGCTCTTTTGTAGCCCAACCATTTGTTGTGTACGAAAAAGGTTAAACACGAAAGCCAGTACAATGGTCTGCTCTAATGAGCCAGTTAGACAACTGGTAGCATTAATTTAAGCATCTGCTACTCAAATAGCATATTTTAGAAACCAGTAGGTCAAGTTGATCATGTGTTAACTACTGAGATTAGTACAAATCATCGGATCAAGATAAGGAGCAATTCGGTGATTCGGAGTACGATCTACCTACAGTAGCTGTGTGACCGCTTCGGAATTAGTTTATAATACGCTGGTGTTTACTCTGATACTTCCAGCTATGGGTCTATAACATCCAGCACTACACTGATGTAGACCACAGACTGGGCAACACTTAAGGGTAAATCTGCTCAGGTCTTGTCGACATCTGCCATCTACTAATCTATGTGTCAAATACCGGACCGGATGCAAGAGGTTAATAACTGTACAGGTAGAGCTGCCACTTAGTCTTCACTAGATGGCAACAAAATACACCACAAAACTGGTTTGATCAAGATCTGACAGACTCGCTTGGAGCTCGAATGGGTACATTGCTCCATGCAGCGCCAGTTAAAGTTGCAAAATCGTTGATGTCTACGAAGTGAGCTTAAGTTACCAACTCTGCTGTTTGGCGGTAGTTCATTTCGTGACCCTATATTGTTAGTCGTTAGCCTCGCTTATAAGCATCTAGCATCTCAACAGATCGTTTCCCCTCGAGATTGGTCTGCATTGCAACTCAAACTCGCATGACACAATAAACCGAAATATGTGTGCACAACCCCCTAAGTTAATGCATTTCGTAGATACCAATGGGCTCGATATATATTTAGCTGGTAGACAGCGGAATTTTTAAAGTGTAAGTTGTTGTAGGTAAAATTAAGGTTCCTTTTGCGATTCAGGATCAGCCAAACTTGACTACTGGATGGCCGAGCATGCTGTGGTTATTCGATTTACAATGAGTGTGGGGTATGCTATTGACACGATGCACTTTTATATACATGAACTAGAATTGAAACTACCATCTAGCTCACCTCATCTAATTCGCTGGAACCAATAGGCGGCCGCACAATAGGTTCGCCATAGCTGTCATATTCTATCCTTGGAGCCCTCCGTGACAGTATAGTGCTCATGCTCTTGTGAAAAGAGGATTCGTAGATAAGTCACTAAGCGTCCGTGGAAAAGCCGAGCAGTTCGCTCGACCATGTATTTATTTCCGATGGTGTACTATCACGATACTTTTGTTTATGGATCGCTTTTCGACAAAACGAATGTTTGCAATCATTTGTCCAGTTACCGACTGAAACTCGCTCACCAGTAACTGGCTGCACCGTGTGCGTGTATCGATGCGTACGCAGCATCCTCATGGCCTTACGTGTAATATGTTAGTATTAACCGCTAGGGTGCGGCTTCATGTGCACACAGGACCAGGTATTGAGTGATGTACCAAATCAGTAGTACCTAACGCACCTGATCCTCGTGATACCATATCACACAGACAATAGTTGACACTTGCGGATAATCAAACACTGAAAACATGGCGACCAGGTTGCGGATGAAACTGAGTGAAAGATTGCGACGGGGATGGTGTAGATGCAATACAGCGTACTTACTGAAGTTACAGTAAAGGCAGAAATAACAAAAGCAAACAATCAGTCAGCAAAGGAGGTTTAAATACGCAGCCAACTACCGTCGCCGAGAAGTCTACGTGACAACACGGAATTACCCGGAGAGTTGCGTTTTCTAGGCAACACAAACGCGATGGACAAACAAACTCAGAGTAGTAGGCATAGCCCCACAGGGAAACCGCATTTACAAATGCACTACGAACATCTGACGCCTCCACGTGCATGTATGAAAACATCAACGCCTTCTCAAAAAGTTAAATGAGATTCGTTCAGTAAAGTTCGGCAAAAAACTATGATACGAAAATCGAAGTGGGGTGCATCCAGTAACTAAGATTCTTATTGAAGGAAAAACAATTAATAACGACAGCATGATAGTGTAATCGAAAGTAAATAGTACGCAAAAAAACAAAAAACCAGTACGAAGCGCATTAAACTAACCAGAACAAATCGACAACTAGCAACCAGATGGAAGAAAGCGAATGCGGGAACGCCGTTGACTACGTGAAGGTGCCATGTCTGCTACGGTCTTCAGCCATTGGGTTGGACCATCCCGAGGCCCCATCCACCCAGACGATACGCACCAGCCTAACCAAGTCTCTCAGTCAAATTCTCCATCCCTTATCGTCAACTCGCGGTTTCACCCAAGTTGGTGTGGCCACGACGCATAAGGCACGCCGCGGAACCCAATCAACAGACATGCGGAGGACACGGCCTTGAACACGAACGCATTTTGCGATTCAATAAACATTCCAGTGAGGCATCATAAGGGTTCTTGCAGAAACCAACTGGCGGACCTCTTCATCGCTCACCCGGTGTTATCATCAGACGTGAGTTATACTCCGCAAGCACCAATGATCAGACACAGCCAACCGTTTAATGTTTCGCCGCGAGCTGCTCAAGTCTCTGATCCATACAGTAAGACCGACATTTTCTTAGCGTAATTCATCCGACATTACAATTACAGGCTGATGTCCCGCCGTCACATTTTGGGCTGCAGCGGGCTTGCCTAGAGATTACAGTTGACTTGATCACTTCTAGATAAAAGGTTGCTTTCAATAAGTTACCTTCGAAGGTACTAACTGACCGACTTCATCCAACACACAGTGCCCTTTCAAAGGAGTCATCTCCTACGCGGTTGAAATTCCAAATTCGTCACTCCTACAATTAAGTATATCATAATACTATATCACTTTACCTGCCGTGTTTGCTCGTTGACCCAGTGAAACTCATAAACATGCCGTACGAGCGTTTGTTGAAATGAACTTTTGCGTACATCTTGCATTTTTCGCCCGAACTCTGTAGATTACTTTTAAATAACCACCCAGTATACTCGCATTTGTGATGTAAAGTTTGCGAATGAACCCAGTAGGGTTCACAAGATTAATTTGACTTCAGCTAACTTTGACAACACTAGTTGGAGTTAAGGAGCTTTCCTTACAGTGTACAACGCTACAACGATTACATCGCTTATGCAGTAGATTCCTACAAGGCAGATAATTGTTTAATATTTGACCGCATGGATTACGGCAAAACATGGGCACCAGATTTACGCAAGACGATATGTGGTCTGTGGCCTTTCCCATCACATTATCCTACTTTTAGCTCCTAGCTACTTAAGAGAAGTAGAAGTTCTTTAGAAGCAGCAAATTGGCGGTAAGACTAGGATTTTATACCGGCCCCTTCCTACTTATGGCTTCATAATCGGAGATAACCTTCCGACATATGCCCCAGCAGAGTTGGAATGTTGGATGGCAAGCACTAATTAACCAACCCATCAAAATTGTTTAAGCATGATCTTAACCCCGACAGTTCAGGAACTGTCCGCCAATTTGTGAAATTGCGGTTGAATAATGCCGAAGTACTGGAGGCTCTGAGTTACGCTCTGATATACGAAACTCGACGCATATTTTTACCTGGCTGTTCCAACCACGAGTGGCTGCTATTGGAATCGTATTGAAAAGACCTGTCCAGTCAATACGATTAGCATTTTGAACTGTTGCACAGTTGCACAGTTACGATTACGTTTCATTCTGAGTTATGGACTTGTAATTTTTCTTGGCTGGGTACCGAGAATTTTGCGGAGAAGGGCTGACTGCTTACCGTAATAACGCAAGAGTGAGTATCCAACAATCGGAGCACCCAGAAGCTACTTTCGCAAAGACATACATAAATCCAGTCACAGTAGAAAACGAGAGCACATCTGATGCATTGTCCTACTCTCCATTTTACGGTAGTGCTTCCGCGCGAAAAGGAGGCAAATTCATTTGATCTTTCTGTGAATTCCATCTTTGGATTTAATTAGGATGAGGATCTGGATTGCAGTACAAACGCTAAGGAAACATGTCTCGGATAGACTGCAGTCGTCAAGATGTCTCTAAGTAAGCGCGATCAGTGCTTTGCAAACTTGGCACTAATGATCTCTGGAGGTAACTTGATCACATACTTCCAAAGCAGCCGAAATACACAAGGTTTGAACAACGGCTCCACAGCTGTCTGAAATGCTTGGCTAGACACCGTCCGTGTAATGTGTCCGGTATTTGTGCCAGGGTATCGTAATTGGAGACATAGACGGTTACTGAGTTTCAGTACAAATTGTCAACCGGAAGTGTGAAAGTTGCAAATAACAATCCCTGGCGGATGGTCAATTCAAGTGTATAGTGTTCGTTTCGGTTGTACAGTTCGTGCAAGAATTCGAAATTTGCACACGTTTATGCCATTGCTCATTTTCTATGATTATTAACGCAGTCCCTTGCCTCATTTGTGTATCGGCCATCATCCGTAGGGTAACAGCTATCATCCGATACTCAACGGACTTGTATCCATCGTCACATTTTGTGGGCAATGTCTAGCAGCCAATAGAATTCGTCATAGCATAGAGGCTAAACGCACCTACGACGCAGAATACTCACGCTTTGGAAGGGAGGGAGGCAAATTGAGACTGAGATTTAGACTGTATATAAAAGCAAGTAGTAAGTTTTCTGTAAAACTCTATCGAATTATCAAAAAGAAAAAAACATTTAATTGCGAATCGTTAGTGGCATTGTTTGGACAGTTACTCGTTCAATCTTGTTCGGTTAGGAATTCGTATTGGTGTCATTGTATTCGGGAATAGAGTGTAGTTTTTGCATTGAGCACCATTTACAAACGCACAGATTTTCGAAGTAATCGTCGGTAAGTTTTTTTAAACACTTCACAGAATCGGCCTCTATTGGTTTTTCTGCTAGTGTATTCCATAAGTTTACGATTCTTCGTTCTGTACAAAGCAGATGTGACACCTTGTTCAGGCAGGAGACCCTGAGTTGGTAACAGTTTCCTCAGGTGTTGCAGGGTACCCGCAGGTGAACAATGAACAATGATTTATCACGGGATAAATGCAAGTGCTTGACACGTCCCGTAGGATGGTTGAGGTGAATATGATGAAATCAAAATATGTCTGGTTCGTCTATCGAACGTCTGCCGATATGAATAGTTTGATAAGTAACATCGGTGTAAAATTAAAATAAATTATCGAGCGTGAACGTTCAGAAATGCACTGGGGTGCATTGATCATTGAGGTAAGGAGTGAGAAAAGTAAAATATGATCGCTCACTTAGGTCCAGTTGATACATAAATCCTGTTGAAAAGCATGCTTGACGTAATCCACAATAGGGGAGTTTAGGTAATAAAATGTTGGGAGCTAAGAGCAACATCTAATCGTTTTTTGAAAACAGCCAAGGTAGGAGAGGATACAACTGGCTCTGGGAGTGCGTTCCAAGGTTTTCAAACCGGAAGGGAAAGTAATTCCCTCGACACTCTAGACGGCGATATTGTTCCTTTAAATTTAAGCAGTTACCCCTGAGCTGCGCGTTGTGGCTAAGTTTCAGCAAATGCCGGCATACGTGGTTGCGGTCACTCAGTATCTGATACGCTAATATGAGATCGCCCTGCAGCCTTCGATAGCGCCCGCTGAAAATTCCTAGCAACTTCAGTCTTCGGTGGTACGAGTGATAGCGCAGGCCACTTACATTCTTTGTTGCTCTTCGTTGTGGTGGCCCTATCGCTTCTAGGTCACGCTTCAACCAAGATCGCCAAGCTTGGATAGCGTATTCAACATGCGGGCGCATGTAGGAATTGCGCATCATTATGAAGATTGATGGGTCAAACCTTTCGAATGCTCTTTGCAGCATGCCGACATGCTGGTTGCCTCTTTTCGCAGCTACCTCAGCCTGTTTTGAACAGTTGAAGTCGATCTTTACGAGCACACCAAGGTCACGTTCCTGTGAGCTGGTCTGTAATCCGTTTGTCCCAAGTAAATAGGTGTAGTTATGTCTACTGCGTAATTGTACAACGCGACATTTGTCTACGTTGAACGGTAGGGCATTTTGAACTGACCAGTTCGACATTGTGTTGAGATCGCATTGGAGCTGTTCATGGTCCTCCGGTCCTCTGATCCTTCGCCATATCTTGATATCATCAGCGAAAAATAGGAAATCGGAAGTAATTGATCTCGTCAAATCGTTAATGAA